GGGCCGGGGGGGGGAAAAAAAAAAAAAAAAAAAAAAAAAAAAATTGGATGGGTCAGTTTCCTGCCCATGTGGCAAGAGAAGGGCTTGGACTGAGAGTGCCGGCCGTCAGGACCACAGGGACTGTTGTGTGCTTAGGTGGGCCTGACCCCAGAAAGACAAAATAAGCAAGGATTATTAGGCAAAATGACCTTATTTGCTATCCACGGTGAGGTAGCTTGTGTAACCCACTCTCGAGCATGGATCCCGGTGTCTAGACAGATAGCTGGCTTGTTTCCTTCGGTGCTGAACTGCAATACAAGAGTGGCAATGTATGTGACCAAACGGTGGCCCCCACCACCACCAGGGTCTTTCTCTGTCCCCTTTTCTGTTCTTTATGTGATTGAAAGAGGAGGAGGAGATAAAGACAGTGATGTTGTCGGTCAGTTCTTCTCATTCAAAATAAAATTTTTTGTCCTGTTCTTTTAACGTAAGCTTAAATGCAGGCTAACGAGCAGCACTGAATTTTTCTCCTTTGATGTTTGTAAAAACTTGCTGCAAATAATGTAAAGACATGAAAATATGTTCATATATTGTAAATTGGAGGAAAAACAGTTACAGAATTGTATGTCATTTTTATTTTTATAAAGATTAGTTCATATATATGTATATATTTATGTATATACACATATGTATGAGAAAAGGGGAGAGAAGTAAGAGAGAAAAGGAAAAAAAAGAGAGAGAGAGAGAGAAAGAAGTAGGAAAATATACAAGAAAATGTTAATAGCTGTTGTCCCACAGCTGTGGAATTAGAATTACAGAGATTTTTGTTTCTTTTTTTTTTTTTTTGGTTTGTTTCTCTGTATTCCAAATTTTTGCAATGGTTGTGTTATTTTTGTTATAAAAATGCTCATGATAACCTTTTGAGTTCCTTCATAAAAACAGGACAGCAGGCTCCAGAGGTACTTTCCAGAGTTTAAATTTTATGATCTAAGTGACTTAGTTTTATTTGGAACAGTGGCTTTGCCAATTGGATCAGTAAATGAGAAGGAAAAGATTATTTTTGCACCATCAATTTCTCTGTGCAGCATTCTAAACATAGTAGATAAGGTAAATGAGAAATGCAAATCCTTGCTAAAAATCATATTTCACGGATTTTGAGAGTTTTGGGTGAAAGTGTTTTGTGCCTTTTCCTCCACAGAGCTCAAATGTAAAAAGAAGGCAACTATCAAAAACATAACATCCTCAACCACCAAACCACCCTGGAAAAGGGAAAGCCAGGAAAATCCAAGAAAGGCAGAGAAGAATCCAGGATTTCCTGACCCAGTTGTAGGAGAAACAGGGTAGAGGAAATAAAAAGAAAGGAGGGGAGTAAACATTAGCAAACGTACCCCAGAGTCATAAAATAGGCAAACCACTCCTCTGAGGCCTGCTTTGGGAAGAAAAGAAAAACACGTCTGGAGAAATCCATCTGTCCCAGTTAGTGAGTTGGTTCCCAGCCATAACGTTTCCAAATTTAGCAGGGAGTTGTGACATTACCTCTTTTTTTTTTTTTTTTTTCCTTAACAAACACTTTCTAGGAAATCTGGGGAAATAATTTTCACTCTTTTTCAGGGCAAAGTGCAAAAGCTTGAAATTATCTGTACCAAGACTGTCAGAGGTTAGAAACTGGAGGGGAAGAAAAGAAAAACACGTCTGGAGAAATCCATCTGTCCCAGTTAGTGAGTTGGTTCCCAGCCATAACGTTTCCAAATTTAGCAGGGAGTTGTGACATTACCTTTTTTTTTTTTTTTTTTTTCCTTAACAAACACTTTCTAGGAAATCTGGGGAAATAATCTTCACTCTTTTTCAGGGCAAAGTGCAAAAGCTTGAAATTATCTGTACCAAGACTGTCAGATGTTAGAAACTGGACTAAAATCCTAACTTTTTTTCAGCTATCACCTAAAAAAAAGTGCCTTCATTTCAGGGCATTTGCTTCAGCCGTTGCATACTGCAGGAATTCTTTAATTTTTTTTTTTTTTTCTTTCAGTGCGGCACAGTGCTAAAAAAAAAAAAAAAAAAATAGTTCTTTTAAAGGTGGGCTTAAAAAGGAAAAGAAAAAAGGGGGGCAGCGAACTCCCACCCACCTTGATTAATTACAGAATACTCCCCAGCACCCCCACCCCGGCCCCGCCCCCCCTTCCTCGGTTCCTATTGGCCCGTCTGCCCTGGTTCCCGGGCCCGCATCTATCAGGACCAGAGCGTGAATTCACTCCTGCAGACCTGCGTCAGCTTGCGCAGGGAGAGAGAAAGGAAAGGGGGGTGGGAGGGGAGTGTGGATGCTCAAAACCAGCAAAGACCGGTTAGAATGGAAAAAAAAAAAAAAAAAAAAAAAAAAAAAAAAAAAAAAAAGGAACCGCTCTGAAGGGCGAGCTGGGACTGCTGGCCAGCCTGGGAGGAGGGGCATTCTAGAAGCATCGGACGGAAAAACCGGTGCTGCAGCGGTGTACCTTGAGCACATTCATGGGCCGCTTCTCAGAAGAAAATCCAATATTCACTTTGCTCACTAGACCAGGGTGCTCACCCGCGAGATTATCCGTGTCTTGAGAAATCTGAAATGTGTCAAATGAATAAATAGATATTTGCAAATGAAAGGTCTGATGCGTGCATTAGTGACTTTTCCCTCGCCTCCATTCCCATTCCCTCGGGATGCGAAGGGGGGGGCGGGGGGGGCAGGGGACGAGGCCGGTGGGGACATTGGAATCCGAACTAAGAAGTGATGAGTCACTGGCAGCCGTAGAGGCTGGGGAAGAGAAGCCTTTTGCAGCAGTAGAGCTGGCTCTTTCCAGTTTTGTGCAAAACAAAATGGCATTCGGCTGGTTTGCTTGTGGTTTCCTCCGCTCAGCTCGGAGTTGGAGCTTTTCTAGCCACAAAGCTCCTCGCCCTCACTAGCAAAGAAACACACGTGGTAATGGCACCAAAAAGATGGACTAGACGCGGGCGCTGCAAGACGCAGCGGGGCTACTTCAGGCCAAGGACAATGGGGTGCCTCCCGGAGACACACTAAAGCCACCAGCTGCTCCGGCTCCTGTTTTCAAGGTGGATTGAAATTCTGTGCCTCTGTCCATTGCTGGGATTGAGACGTGTCTGGGCGCCTATGGAGAATAAGGGTGGAAACAGCCCCTCCAGCTGTCACCAGCATTTGCACTCCCTGGGCCTGGCAAGGGAGAGAGCACACACGTTTCTCCACTCTGGTTTCTTCCTTACTCTCGTCCTGGTCCACCGTGCCTTATCTGAAACCTTTAGGGCTGTATATATTTAAAATTAAGAATTTTTTTTTTTGAGGGGGGCTTAGAAAGGTAATAGGAAGTATATATTGTATACTACGCATGTGACATTGCTCCATATTTAAACTCATTAATATTTCTTGGAGTGAAACAAGTAAGTAGCAAATCAGTTCAGGTCAGATTTTGCCCCCAAATGAGTTTAGGTCAGATCAGGTTTTGCCACAAAAATAAATTAAGGAAAAATTTTTTCAGGGCCGGCCGGGTGGCGCACGGGAGAGTGCGCCGCTTGGGAGCGCGGCGGCGCTCCCGCTGAGGGTTCGGATCCCATGTGGAGACCGGTTCCCGCTCACTGGTTGAGCGCGGTGCGGGTGCGACACTGAGGGTTGCGATCCCGTTACCGGTCAAAAAAAAAAAAAAAAAAAAAAAAAATTTCAGAGTTCTTTGCATTTTAAAATTGCTGATTTGGAGACTTGGTGCCGACCAGATACCTTCTCTGGGCTCTTTCCTGCCTGCTCCCCTCCTCATCCGTTATCCCTCTAAATGCATCCCCTCATCCCCCCTTCTGCCCCTCAGCCCACTCCCAAATCAGTCAGTGCAGATAGACCCCCAGTGGGCCCTAACAAAAGCTCTGTGTCCTGAAGAGGTAAACACAGCACTCCACTGGTACAGAGGTGGCAGCATGGAGTACCAGATGCGGGAAGGTGACATTCTTCACAGGACTGACAAAGCTCAGGAAAGACAATAGAAACTACCTAAGACTTTGCTTTTTTTTTTTTTTTGTCAATATACAATGTAGTTAGTTATTGTGTCCCATCACCAAAACCTCCCTCCCTCCTCCCTCTCCCCCCTCCCACCCAGATGTGTCCCCTCCTTTTTCTCGTTGTAAGAGCTTCAAAAAAAAAAAAAGTTGAGGTTGTTAAATCTTCCTCTCCCCCC